CTCTAAAAAATGCTGGGTTAAATATAACCCAGCGCTGGGTTAAAAAGGGACAAACCCAGCTATTGGGTTGTTTTGACCCAGCGGTTGTGTCAAAACAACCCAATAGCTGGGTTTGTCCCTTTTTAACCCAGTATTTTTTAGAGTGTACTGATACAATACACAACATTACTATTAATTCAGAGTAAAATGATGTTGGTGTGGGGCCTCAGGTTTTGACTTTGCTTAGGGCCCCCAAAATGGTAAACTCGCCCCTGCTGCACATGAAAAAAAAAAAGAACAGGTCTGTTTTAATTATTTTCTTCCATTTTACCTCGGACCTGCGTGCTGCTGTAAACAAAGACGGAATGATTGATTTCTAACAAGAAAAGTAAAAATGGTATGACTATGCATTTTTGATTGCAAGTAATCAGTTGACAAAGTTATCTTTAGTCAGTTATAGCTGGATTGTCCGTCTTCCAAATTGATCTGTTAATGAGATGAAACATTTTCACCCAGTCTGGGTCGTTTTGGCAACCCTGGGTCAGAGTGTGAAAGTGATTTATTAAGCAAATTAAGCGTTTATTAAAAAAAAATACTGATTTATGAATCACTCTCCTTTTCAGTGCAACAATTCAGATAGTTTGATGGATCATAATCTCATGCAATCTGTAACAAAATAATGTGATTTATTATGTGATATTATTGGAAAGCTATTGTTAAGTTCGAATGCGCCGTGGCAAATTCACATGTACGCAGATGTCTCTTTTAAAAGCACTGTAATGGTACCAGCCGAACACGACTAATCATAGCAGTATTGTGGATATTGTTCAGCTGGTGCTCTTGTGTAGGACTGTTGCTCTCATAACGTTATGATGGATGGCCAGTCCTTTGAGAGGCTCAACGTGATACCCGCTTGTTGAGCACAAAGACGCGTGGATATTTGCATCATAAAAACCACTCTGTCATCTCCTGTCTCTCTTTTCCACTTACATATACACTTATAACCAGTGTTGGGGGTAACGCATTACAAGTAACGCGAGTTACGTAATCAGATTACTTTTTTCAAGTAACTAGT